ACTGCACAGACATGTGTCCCGTCTAGCCCACCCCTCGCCCATTTTTGTACCTTTTTTTTATAACAGAACACTGTAAGAACCTTTTTATTATCATTGATGTCTTCATCTTTTATGTTGTTGAAAAAGTCCTGATACTAATCGTATTCATCGAATTGTATTGTAATCCGTAGTGAGTGTGTGGATGACCTAGAGAGAGATCTGTGAATGTGTGCGGTGCAGAGGAAAAGGTGAGCAGTCAATCTAGCAGTAAATATTTCAGTCAGTAAAGGCTGCAGCCTCATAAGACCAAAGTAAAACTGCCATGTGTTGTTTCCCAAATGCTGGAAAAGCATTGCCAAGATGATAAGCTCTGCCTACGTTCAAGGGGTACTGAAGTAGAGCCTGCTATGTAAAATCCCACAGTGAAGGGGCATCATGGCGCTGTTCTTTGCTTCAGTGTAAAAACAGCAAAGTTGTATTGTTGTGGAATCACTGTAAGAAGGGCTACTGTCTACTTACGGTTGATGAAGAAGAGCTGCAGGAAATGCAGTATGACTAGAAGGGGGTAGAAAGCGTTGAGGTGAACATCGAACGCATAGCCCCACTCCACATCAAAGTTTCTGCTGGGTTGTTTCAGCAGGTACTTGTTGCTGATAACCCTGGAACACACAAGAAATACTGTTTCACATGAAGTAAAGTCAAAGTTAAAGTAAAAAAATCATCTTACCTACATTTTATTCATATAATCAACTAAGCAAACTTACTACTCACCACATAAGGGTTGATATAAGCAGACCAACTCCTATACAGTCAACAAAGACCACCCACAGCAGCAGCTTCAGAGTCTCCAACACTCCCATGTCCAGCACCAGACCAAAGCCTATTGTTGACACTGCAGTGAATAAAGGGAGTGTTCAGTTATCATAGTGCCGTACAGTGTAAACACCAGGTTTCATCTGGCAACATTCAGACCAGTTTAAATGTGTCTATTTACATTGAATCAAACAGGTAAAGCAGGCCACACAAAAAGAGAGGTATGGACACGAGTAAACAGATGCTAACATCAAGAGTGGACCACATGAGTAGAGTCTTACCACAGAGCCAGATGCTGAGCAGGACCAGGAAAGCGGGGTCGTCCCTGGCCCACTGGTCTTTGGTCTGTTTTCTGTAGTGGAAGTTGCGGTAGACTCTCTGTGGTGATGTGAACAAGTAAAGCATCTGCCACATGGCAAATTCAAAGTCCATCTGTCTGAAGTGGAGCATCCGTCGCAGGTACTTGTAACGCTTGGCGCCCGCCGTGTGACGTGCCGCATCCCTAGGGCCGAGGGCGCCGTTGCTGTGCGGCGAGGTGGTCGGCAACATGATGCTGGATATCAGATCAGAGGAGCGCGGGAAAAGAAGGAGGTAAGGAGAAGTGGGGAAAGAAAGGAAGATGAAAGAGAAGGAAGGGGTGAATTGCTGTACACATGAGGGAGTTATCGTGAAACTGAATCTGTGAACTGGACATGGACCTTTACGTCTTTGGGATGACTTGTGAACTTGATTTGAATGATTCATTTGCATTTTTGAGAACTTACTCTTTATACAATGTCCATTTTGTTGTGGGCAGGAAGAGAGACAGCCTGATTTAGCATACCTTCTTCGGTCAGATTGAAAAAAAAACGTGGGGATGTTTTTGATTTGTTATTTTAGTCTGTCACTTGCAGATGAAGCGCAATCTACTCTTCACAGTGACAAATAGAAAATCAGGTGAGCCAGACAATATGTTCCCATACTTTTCAAAGGTTTAATGAAACATATATATATATATATATATATGAATGATGAATCTAGGCTATATGAATGTACTTGCAAAGTGAAGGCTTAAGTACAGCTACTATGGTGCCAGCAGTATTGTATAAAACGAAGACGCATTTAAATCTCAAATGTCTGTAACATGCCCTTTTAAATGAGTTATTACTAACATATGATCTTATAGTATGCTACCGCCGACGAGCCGCAAACAAACAGCTGTAAAAAAAAAGAATGACAACACAGAAACAGAAGGTGCTACAGCAAACCTATGCTACATACTGTAAGATACACATAAACATGATGCAACTGCATTAATACATGAACTAATAACCAGTTACCTTCAGCGCAATGACCCCTAAAGAGCAGATATATTTAACTGTCTTGTTAGTTGGCGCTGTGTTTGTTAGCAGGCACAGTTAGCTTGCTGCTAACTAGCTACTTTAATAAGATGAGAAGGCCCAGCCGGTCTTATTGGTTACAGGCTCGGCGTAAACGCAGCGGCCACTGTTTGGTGTTAGCTAAACATCTAAACTTCTTGTCTTAAAAGATAGTTCACCTGTTTCTGCTGTACTCCTTCGCAGGAGAAAGCACCAACTCCTGCTTTCCGTAGCTGAATGTAGACGCTTCCTGAACTGTCGCGAAAATGAACACGTATCTACTTCCGGTTGTATCGACCTGTAGCCCCGCCCCCCTCCTTTTTAAATGTAATTAAAAAAAGACAATGATACAACTAACAAATACCAGTTCAATTTAAACATACATGTAAGCGAGGAGATATACAAACAGATAAATAGAGACGGACATAAAACAGGGGTAAACACAAATAAATAGAAAGCGACTTCAGTGAAAACATTAAATATATTAGTTACAGTTTCAGTTTTAGAACAACTTTTTCTTTTTAAACTGTTTTAACATATAGTTTCATTTCTATTTCATGAATGTGAGGTTTTACTTTCGTAAATGTACATTTATGAGTGTAAAACTTTGCCAAAAAATATGAGATTGATTATGATTAGAAAATGCTGTTTTTAATATATAGTATTGGTTCTTGAAAAAACAAAACACATTTTCCAGTAGGAGCTCAAGGTTACATAAAGATACATCTGCTGATATCTTGCCACAGTTTACAGGTATGTATGCATTTACAGAAAAGATGTTTAACAGTTGTATTCTAGTGAAAGAAAGAGAGTGTTTAATTACATTTTGAAAATGGAGGTAGAACCCTTTTTGTTGTGTTTTTTTATGTTGCCTATATTCACACAACCAACTACTGTCATTTATATATTTATATCAATAAATAACATATTTGTGAGAAAACTTTTTGAATATGCTACACTTTTGGAAGAAATGTGTGCTCATTCACATAACTGTGACTTTCTAGGCTAAATATGCAATCATTATCTGAAGGCACACTACCTGGACGTATTGATTTTTGTTTTAATAAAAACAGGTAATGTTATTATTGAGAGACAAATAAAAGGCAAAAAAATAATTGAAATGTGTATAGCAGTATATAGCAATTAAACCCAAAACTAGCCAGGGCAATAGCCAATCAGATATACTTTTGTTTAATGCAGTTATTTATATTAGTTATGTTTACGTGTTGAAGATACTTTTATTGTGAAATTTGGGACCTTATTTCTAACGGAAGTAGGAGACCATGCTATTTCCGCTAAGTACGCCATAGCTAGTAGACTGGTAGTATAACTCAGATCGCCGCTGTTCTGGTCAAGAAGGCCAAATAGCGAAAGGTAAGAAACAGAAACATATTGTGCACTTATAAAACTATTAAATCCATATGTTGTTTAACTGCAAGACCAAATGAAAACGAAGTGTTTGACCTTATTACCCGCAGTAACCCCGTACTACAGTGCAGTGCCCGTGTCCTTGAGTAGTACTCTAAGCTAAAGCTGTTAGCCGGCGAGCAAGGAGTCCTCATTGGAGGACTCAGGCTGACATTAACTGTAGATAATCGTGCTAAACATGTTGTTGTGTCAGTGTGTTTCGGAAATGCAGCTTTTGTTCCTCGTTGCAAAGAGGGCATCGTCTTTATACGATAGCTATGTGGTTGAGTATGACTTGTTGTTGTTGACAGTGAGCTATTAAGCGAGCTAGCTCCAGCCACTGTAACTGTGGTTATATTCACTGTAACTGGGTTATGAGTTTGTTAGATAGACATGCACAAACATTTAAAATACATCAGCCTTGCATTAAATCCGTCTCTGTGAAAATGCTGATTAAAAAAAATCGTTTCTGAGGCTGTCTAATAACGTTATCTGAAAAATAAAGGGAGCAATGTGACTTTCTGTATATGGGGTCATTTTTTATTCTGTCTTAAAATTGAAGACCTTAACCCCAAAAAAAAGATAGAAAAAAAATGAACATCACATTTTACTTCATGTTAATGCTTTCTGAATCTGAATCCATACACTAATCATTGACTCTAACCTGGAACCTACAGTCTGTGTGTGTGTGTCATCTTCTGTACTGTCAGGCTTTGGGCTGAAAAGAGTTAATCCAGCTGTTAACAGTAAATATTATTGTTCAATACCTGCAGCTAGGCCTTGCATGAAGATAAAGTTCACTTAATATTATTTTATAATTATGCCACCGGCCCACTTTATCTCGGTTACGACCCGATTCCAAAACCTGAATTTTGACTGTTGCAGATACAAGTACATAGTTCTTAAACGTGCATTCAGCCCTCCTCATTTCAATGCGAGACTTTCAGACAACCACACAGGTATCATTAGTACGTCTCTCTCTTCATCCATCTGTCTTTCACCACCTCCCTTCCTCTCCCTCTGTCTCGCTGATCCTCACACACATATATGTGAACAGCAGTCAAACGAATTAATGGCAGAAAAGCCCCAGATTGGCTGTCATGAAACCATCAGACTATGGAATCTGGATCGGTGACGTCAGTAAATGACCTCAGTACCTGGACACAATACTGATATTGGATTGGATCGGTCCCAACTGTAGACAGCGTTATTATTAGCCTCGATGCAAAAGAGCTGTCCTTAATTGAACATACTTCTCATTTATTGGAATTTTCTAACTTCCTGATGAAAAATAATTCGACTTTATTGAAAGAGAAAACATAATCTCACAACACCACATTTTATTTTAAATTTTAATTAGAAAAGTAATTCTGACGTTCTGATGAGGCGGCAACTTCAGAGAGGCGGACCGTTGACTTGAGAGATATTCTGGCAGCCAGTTTGTTATGTCTTGATTATAATTAGTTAACAAACATGGACACGGTGTGAGGTAGAGCTGAAACAATTAGTCAGTTTTTAGTTGGTTAGCAAAATGAATCTGCTAGAATACCTATAATCAATTAAAGACAATATCAGAATGAGGTTTTTTCTGTTTTCCTCTCACAGCGTCATGTTGCGTCTGCCGACCGTCGGCCGAGCTCTGGCCGGAGCCGCCAAGGGCAGCCTGGCTCCCTCCAACACTGGTAAGACCTGTGTGTGTGTGTGTGTGTTGTGTGTGGTGTGTGTGTGTGTGTGTGTGTGTGTGTGTCAAGTAACCAGCAAGCAGGTTGGCGCCGCGGCGGGGAATTGAGCAACTGTGATATTTGGTAGTTTTGGGAGTAAATTCATGATTTTATATTTCTGTATTTTATATTTTTTGTGTTTCATTTCTTTATTTGACCTCAGGTGTTTTTCAGCATATCAGGCCATTTTAATTTTCAGACGCATCCCATGAATAGTTTACTTCAATTTCAGTGTATTTTGTTAATTTTTGGGTAGAAGCTTACACATTGACAACATTTAGGTCATTTAAAAAAAAAAACTAAGGATATATCTATCTTGTACTCAGTTCCCCCCAATGTTCATTTTGTCTTGAACTGAATATATTTTTAGACTCATTTTATTGGTCAAGTTTCATTTCATTTTCAATAACTTTGACCTTTGTGTGTTTGTGCTTTCAGTGCGTACTTCAGTGCGTGCTGCCAGCAACATGGTGGAAGTGTTTATTGATGGGAAGCCACTGGAGGTGGAGCCTGGAACTACTGTGCTGCAGGTATGAAACATTATTTTACTGCAAACTAGTACAGATGTATACAGTCCCTTCATATTGTACTTTGTATTTTTGTACACTGTTGTGATCTATATGATTGATAACGTTTTTTCTGTAAAGGTCAGAAGGATTTATGAGAAGTTTGTTTAAGCTTGTGAAATACTTTTGGATCTATTGCAGGCATTTTGTTTTCCTTTTCTTTTTTACTAAATTCTCTATCTTTCTATTTTTTAGTGAAGTGGTTACTGGGAGGGTTAAGGTCCCATGCTACTGTTGATGTAGTACTTTTCCTGTAATAACAATAAACATATTGTTTTTTTGTTTTTTTTTAAAAAAGGGAGGAAGAACTTTTGCTGTTTTGCCTGATGAATGTTTAATTTCCCCATCAGGCCTGTGAGAAGGCGGGAATCCAGATCCCCAGGTTCTGTTACCATGAGCGCCTCTCAGTGGCAGGAAACTGTCGTATGTGTCTGGTGGAGATTGAGAAAGCCCCAAAGGTAACAGAGTGCATCTGTTTGTGTTTAGGCAGATTAGTTAGTGTATTATTATTAGTGCATTAGTTAGCATTAGTGCATATTAGTGCACGGAAATGCTTGCATTGCTATTGTCTAATGGATGTGTGTGCTGTTCCTCAGCCGGTAGCAGCCTGTGCCATGCCCGTCATGAAGGGTTGGAACATCCTCACCAACTCAGAGAAGACACGCAAAGCCAGGTCCAAATTTAAATTTAAAATGTGATTAAAATGTCTCCAAAGTTAACGAACTATTGTTAACAGGCCTGGTGAACATGTGTGTGTGTGTGTGTGTCTCATCAGAGAGGGAGTGATGGAGTTCCTTTTGGCCAACCACCCACTGGACTGCCCCATCTGTGATCAGGGAGGAGAGTGTGACCTGCAGGTAACCAAACAACTAGTATATGGAGGTTAAAGGGTCAGTTCACAGAAAGAAAAGAATAATTTCAGTTTTATTTGAGCTTTTAGAAATATCTGCGTTTGCTGCTACAGCAATACAGCAGAAAAAGTAACAAATAGTAAATAAAAAATAGTAACATTTTCCTGCTGTGTTTCCAGGATCAGTCCATGCAGTTTGGTTCAGACCGCAGTCGTTTCTCAGAAAATAAGCGAGCGGTGGAGGACAAAAATATCGGGCCGCTCATCAAAACCATCATGACCCGCTGTATCCAGTGCACACGCTGCGTCCGGTGAGTCACAAACATCCATATTTATATGGAATAAAGTGATGATCTGCTATTCTTATTTCAAGTGGTAAAATACATTCATGCATTCCTGTGTGTGTGTTTCCCGTAGTTTTGCCAGTGAGATCGCCGGCGTTGAAGACCTGGGAACGACAGGAAGAGGAAACAACCTGCAGATCGGGACGTACGTGGAGAAGATGTTCATGTCGGAGCTGTCGGGCAACGTTATCGATGTGTGTCCAGTCGGAGCGCTCACCTCCAAACCCTACGCTTTCACCGCACGACCATGGGAGACCAGGTAGGAAAAGGGTTAGAAGATATGAGCTTTCTGACCGTCCTGAAGCAAGCTGTTTAATCAATTTAAAGCATGTTGCTCAGTTTGTGTGTCTGATTCCATCATGCTGTTTTCTTTGGCTGAATCTGCTGTGTTTGCAGGAAAACGGAGTCGATCGACGTGCTGGATGCCGTGGGCAGCAACATCGTGGTGAGCACAAGAGGCGGCGAGGTGATGAGGGTGATGCCCAGGCTGAACGAAGACGTCAACGAAGAATGGATCTCTGACAAGACCAGGTAAGGGTTCAGGAGGTGCCAGTAGATCATGTCAAAGATCGGTCCACTTAGACATATATGTTGCTATTGGTTGTACCTTGAATAAAGAGAATAAAAATGTGCATCCTCAGGTTTGCGTATGATGGTCTGAAGAGGCAGAGGTTGACCCAGCCGATGGTGAAGGATGAGTCAGGTCAGCTCACCCCGACCACCTGGGAGGAGGCTCTTACTCGTGTTGCTGGAGCAGTAAGTGTGTGTTTGCTTCTATACTGGATCCATCTGTTTATTCCTCTTTCTGTACTTATTGTGTGTCGATTGGAGACGGGTGATATTTGTGTGTTGCTGCCTGAGGTCATTTGTGATAACACTTTAGTTGTGTTCTCATATTTAAACGTATATGCATAAATCTGTGTGTGCAGCTCCAGAGCGTGCAGGGCAGTGAGGTAGCCGTCATTGCAGGAGGGATGGCCGACGCCGAAGCTCTGGTCTCCCTCAAAGACCTCCTCAACAGACTCGACTCAGAAAACCTCTGCACCGAGGAGCTCTTCCCCATGGCGGGTGCAGGGTAAGACCGCAGTGTGTTCCCCGCAGCCTCTTCTAGTTGTGCAGTGTGTCTTCTCCAGCTGACAGTTTTTATTTTCTTCCGGCCTCTGCAGCACTGACCTGCGCTCCAACTACCTGTTGAACTCTCGCATCGCCGGCATCGAGGACTGTGACCTGCTGCTGCTCGTGGGCACCAACCCGCGCTACGAAGCCCCGCTCTTCAACGCCCGAATTCGCAAGAGGTAAACTCTATTGCAAAGACATTGCGCATTTATTATTCCAAATGTTTTATGAGAAGGTCGAGCTGTTTCATATTTAACAGTTAAATATAAAGCTGGAGCCTGCAGCCGGTTAGCTTAGCTTAGCATAAAGACTGGAAACATGGTCTGGTAACTGCTCAAGCCAAGAAATAGTCAGTTGTTGGTACCCAGCTCCTGCTATAACACACTCACTTGTGCTGTTGTTTGCGTTCATTATATTTGGGTTTGTCTCGCATATGTAACTCGCCTCCTTCTGTCTTTCCTCCTCCTCCTCCTCTTCCTCTGTCAGCTGGCTCCACAATGAGCTGCGTGTTGCCATGGTGGGCCACAATGTTGATCTGAGCTACTCATACGACCATCTGGGAGAGGAGACTTCTGTGCTGAAGGATCTGGCTAATGGCACGCACCCCTTCTGCCAGGTAATGAACACACACGTAGCCTTATTTAGAGGACACTTGGAGGGAACTTTGGTGCTGATTTATGAACCGATGAGAATTATCTTTTTCTCTTTCTCTGGCAGCCCTCAGTTGAGTTTCTGGCAGCTTTTATTTAAATTCTTTCCTTTCCTCTCCCTGTCTCCAGGTCCTTTCAGCTGCTAAACGCCCAGTAGTCGTCGTGGGCAGCAGCGCTCTGCAGAGAGAAGACGGAGCCGGCATTTTGAGCGCCGTCTCCACCATCGCCCAGAACGCCAGAACCAGCAGTGGAGTGGAAGAGGGGTGGAAAGTCCTCAACGTCCTGCACAGGTACAACGTGGCAATGCTCACGAGTGTGGACTCGGACTCAAGCCTCTATTAGTAAGGTACCTTAGAGGCTTCCTGCTCATACTTTGTGTTTGTGTGTGTGTGAGCAGAGTGGCCAGTCAGGTGGCTGCGTTGGACCTGGGCTACAAGCCCGGTGTGAACGCCATCAGGAACAATCCACCCAAAGTCCTGTTCCTGCTGGGAGCGGATGCCGGCTGCATCACCAGAGCCGACCTACCTGAAGGCAGCCTTATCATCTACCAGGGTACACACACACACACACACACACACACAAAGAGCATACACACATTCAGTCAGGTAACATCCAAGACAGGCGGGAAAAAAACTCACTCATGATAATTTTCCACCCCTCTAGGTCACCATGGCGACGTAGGAGCACCAATGGCGGACATTATCCTACCCAGTGCAGCATACACAGAGAAGAACGCCACCTATGTGAACACCGAAGGCAGGAGCCAACAAACCCGGGTGGCCGTCACCGCTCCTGGAATGGCCAGAGAGGACTGGAAGATCATCAGGGCCCTATCTGAGGTCAGCAGGACGCCCCTCCCATAGCACACACTAACCTCCGTACTGTCAGTTAGTGGACCTTGAAAGTAACGCGTGTTTTTTGTGTTTGCAGCTGGCCGGTGTGACTCTGCCCTACGACACTCTGGAAGAGGTCCGCTCCAGACTAGCCGAGGTCTCTCCTAATCTGGTCCGTTATAACGACGTAGAGGAGGCAAACTACTTCAAACAGGCTAATGAACTCGCCATGGTACACACACACACACACACCTACAGAGTCAGAGTTTGAGTTTGTACAGACAGACTTTAAATGTTTTTGTGGTTTGAGAGCTTCTGGAGCTGGAAAGTTTGTTGAGTTGGTTAACTTCCGTGAGAAGAAAATGACCTGTGTCTGTTTCCTTACTCTTTTCTTCGCAGGCTGTGAACCAGGACCTCATCGCAGCTCCTCTGGTACCACCTCAACTTACAGCAAAGGACTTCTATATGACAGGTGAGTGTGTGTGTGTGTGTGTGTGTGTGTTCTGTTAGTGGATACACAGGCAAAAATATAAATGCATAAAAATGTAAAATAATCTTCCTCTGCCCTTCCCCTTCCGCGTTCAGACTCTATTAGCAGGGCTTCCCAGACGATGGCCAAATGCGTCAAAGCCGTGACAGAAGGAGCGGCCGCAGTCGACGAGCCTTCAGTTTGCTGAACACCTGATAACACCTACAACAATAAACTCTCTCCTCTGCCAACACAACACACACTTCACTGAACGGACAGGGTGTCGCTCCATAATTTAAAGTTGTCCCTGATGTTTGTTGTATACGGTTCTCACTCCTGAGAACGAATCTTTCTTGAATATAGCTGAGAAAAGTATGAAATATGAATAAAATCTTAAAAATGTCTTTACTCCAGTCTGAGTGGGTTTCATTTATTGCATTTTTGGTTGAAATCCGCTTGCCATGACGTCCTCTATCATTCCTCCTCCTAGTCACTAATGTACAGTATCTTTAACTCTTTATGGGCAAATCTTTGGAGAGTGATTGTAAACCACTGAAAGTCTTAAAAAAAAAAAAGTGTATATGTGTCTTGAATAGATCCAGAATGGGATACTGGTGTCTGGATCTGGACTCTGTTCCTGCAGACAAATTACTCTTGTCATATATTGTTCCCTAAGAAAGAAAGAAAAAGAAAGAAAGAGAGAGGGGGAGAGAGAGAGAGAGCTCTTATAACCAAACAGAAGCAGAGAGGCACACACAGAGAAAAAGAGAGAAGACAGTCCCATCTCTTCATTCCCTGTCTGCCCAGTGTCTGAGACTGAACACAGTGACTTCATTATTGTACTCCTCTCTGTATCTGGAATTTATTTCTACTTAAAGGTCAGTAATTTATTTCTACTTAAAGGTCAGTATTATTGCTTCATGTAGTTCTCTGGTTCTACTTTTTTTTGTATTTGTGATTTTAAGTTTTGCCTCCTTTCTTCTTCTTTGAAGGGTTTTAATGCGGGAACAGACAGCGGGCTAATTATTGGACCCAACAGGAAAATGGTTCCAGTTAAACTCCTAATTCTGGGAGCTCAGAACACTGGAAAAACAGGTAGATTACAGACTGCAGTAGACAGGAAGGTGGAGAGACAGGATGGGAACGTGTGAGCACTTTGTGGATTATGTAACAGTCGTATAGGTACTGTCACATGCTCATCACATGAAAACACAAAGTAAAAGAGGTTAAGTTGGGGGTTAAATCTTGTTCACGATTGAAGAGGTTTTGCTAAATATGGAAACCTTACGCAGGTCTAACATTGACCCCTCTTCCTGAGTATTGAAGTGTAAACGTCTCCTGTGTCTCCTGAAACTGCTACATTTTAATGTCTCTGTTTTGTCAAATCTTTTTAATGGTGGCAAAACAGAGCAGGATGCAACTTTGTCAGAAATAACAAGTATAAACTGAAAGTAACAACCAGACCTCTAACATTATAAAACCTCAAAGCCTCACAGATTATATAGTGCAGATTACTACTATTACTTACAGTGGTGGAATGTTATATTTACTCAGGCACTGTACTTACTTACAAATTTGAGGTACTCGTACTTGAGTCTTTTCTTTTCATGCCACTTTATACTTCTACTCCACTACAATTCAGAGGCAAAGATTAAACTTTTTTACTTCACTGTAATCATTTAACAGCTGTAGCTACTAGTTACATTATAAGACATTCTGAGATTTTATAAAATATGATGTTTTGCTTAGATATATTATGGATTATATTTACAGATTATATTTATCCATCAGATTACACTGTGATTTACAAAAGTGTGACAAGCGGGACAGAGTATAAAAGAAGGAGAAGCGGCTCTCAGAAATGTTAATTAATATATTGCACTTAAATATTCTTTTAAAAAGTTATTTGTTTAAGGCAGCAGCCGTACCTTTGCAGAGTTCTCCTTCTAAAATCAGTATCTGTATCAGCCTCAAAAATAAGCAGAGCTGCATCATTTAGTTGATTGACAAAAACTGTTTTGGTAACTATTTTTGATAATGGTTTTAAGTCATTTTACCTACAAAAGACACACTTCCAACGGATCAGCTAAAAATAGATTGGTTCAGACAAAACAAGCAATGTGAAGGTGTCACTTTGGGTTCTGGGTAATAGTGACGGCATTTCTCACTCATTTAAAATATTTTTAGAAACAAAAAAAAAACATTCAGTTAATGGAGAAAATAATCAGCAAATGAATCCATAATGAAAATAATCATTAGTTACAGTCCTGTACAAAATAGTTACGAGCTCCACCTCAACCGTATGACAACGACAACAGTAAAATCCTGCTTTTATATTAATGTATGAGTCATAATAATCTAATGGTATCATATATAATAGCACAACAGTCTCAGGGGACATGTTTATTCTTTAAAAAAAGAACATTTTCATGATTATTCTTACATACTTTTATTTAAGTAACATTCTCAATACAGGACTTTAACTTGTAAGAGTATTTTTTTACAGTGTAGCACTTTAACCACTAACATTGCATTGGACAGACTATTAAAACCAGTGTAACCTTCATTTAGATGCTCTTACACTACCACACACTTACAGTAAAGTTCATGTGTACACATATTTTCCTAGAAACTAGACATGTTTGCCTAACTCCATTCTCAATAAGTGTGGAGTAAGTAAAATATACAGGATGTGCCCCTGGTTCTCCAAAATCTAGAGAAAATTTTGTTCTCGAGACTGGATAACCTTGGAAGCTCATAACATTATTCCAAGTAAATGACAACAGTTGTCAGTTATATTATTACTTCTTTACAGTGAAGTCTGTGGATTGCCTCTGGAAAAACAACTTTTTTTTATGCTTTGGGCACCACAAACAAAATTCCATTCACCTCCATTGTGTTGGTGGTGGGAGCAGAAACCTCAGCACATAATATCAAAAATGTCTGTGGCGAGATACAGATGTTACAGGGGTAGACAACAAGCTTTAGTTCCTGATACTGGATGAAAACAAAGCCATTTTTCAGCTGCTCTGCCTCAAATAACAGCTTGAACGAGCCTAAAGAACCTTTTAATGTGTCCTGCCTGAATACAGGGAGCCCTCGAACACCAGACACAGACGTCAAACAAACATGAACCCATCCAGACTCCTTGCACCCAAACACAGAGAAAGCACTTCTGCGTTTGTTTAAACAAGACAGGTACCATTACTAAGAGGATAATTCTCAAAGCAGGGATGACTACATAACGCATGAACATGCAGCAGGCTGCAGATCAGGTGCTAATGTGTAAATCAGACTCCATATGTGTGCATTCACAGTATATTGAGTATATATATTAGCTGGTGTATGTTGTGTTTCTGGCAGTTGGCCCTCTGGTGACCATGTCTGTTTTGTGTCTCCAGCACTGTGTGTTCGTTTTATAACCAAGCGCTTCATTGGCGAATACGACCATAAGAAGGGTAAGACTGCAGTGGATATTTGTTACAATAAACATTATTGATGTGGAACAAAATAATTGGGTTATGCAACCTACCCGCATCATTCACAGACAGTTTAAAATAATGTGTCTGTGTTTTTACAGAGGTGACCTACAGATGCAGTCGGGTGTTGGACCAGGAAACTGTTGATCTGGAGATTTTGGATATAGCTTGGAAGGTAAATTCTGACTTCTATTTAATAATGTTTTACATCAAATTGGAAATAGACGTTTGTCTACGTAGACACAACCAACAGCATCCTCAGTTTTAACCAGAACATTTTAGCTGCTTAATCTGAAAGGTCCGGTGTGTAACATTTAGGAGGATATATTGGCTGAAATGGAATATAATAGTATAATCACCTGAAGATAGGAATTGTTGGGTTTTGTTACCTCAGAATGAGTCATTTTTATCTACAGAGGGAGCAGGTCCCCTTTTATAGAGGCTGCCATGTTTCTCCTTAACGTTTGAAACGCAAGCGGCTATTCAGTTGGTTGCAACCTGCAACGTTCTCCACTAGAGGCCACCAAATCCTACACTTCTTGCTGAGTTAAATGAGAAGATGGACACTGCTCTCTTATTAACAATACCTGATGTTATCTCCTGCAGGAGAACTCTGTGGCTTCTCTGGAGTCTTCCATCCGCTGGGCAGACGGCTTCCTGCTGCTCTACTCCATCACACAGCGCCTCAGCTTCCTGGAGGTCCCTCGGCTCAAGAAACTTATCGACCAAACCAAACAGAGTCTGGGTAGGAAACTAACTTATTATTCTTAATGGAGGGACTGTTGAAGGAGAGTCCTCTGGCTGTGACAGCAGATAGTGTCAGTCTTACACACACTACTAGGAGTCATCAAATTTAGAAATGTTAAATCCTGCACATAGCGGCTTTAAAGTCACTAATTTGACAGAAGAAAGGTAACAAGGGAAAACATCTCTTTTGTGAGTTTTGGCTTTTCTCCAATGTCCTTTAACACAAACTATCTTGTCGGCATCAATAGTAACTACTGCAGCAGTGTGATCTCCACAGGAACAGTGTGTTCACTATGTTTGCTCTTTAAGTCCAGTCTCTGTTCTAACTCTGACATCTGTCTATTGTCACCTTTACACACACACACGCTTTCCATACTTGGTAGGCCATCCGGTGCTCAGTAGGTTACATGTAAACTCCCAACTCTGCATGCCATTGCATCATCCTGCCGGGTTATTGTCACTTTGTTTCACTTTGTGTGTGTGTGTGTGTGTGTGTGTGTGTGTGTGTGTGTCAGTTGTTCCCACAGTGCTGGTAGGGAATAAGGCAGACCTGGAAATCGGCAGGGAGGTGCCAACAGAGGAAGGACAGAGACTGGCCAAAGAGTTAAGGTTTGTTTGTGTGTTGTACATCATAATCAATAGTTCTTTCCTGTTTATTTTGTTGATTTTTTAAAATTATATTACAGATGTTGTGTTGTTGATACAGGTGTTGTTAATATTGCTACCAAATATCTGTACTGAATATTGTTAAGAATTACAGTGTGTTGTTGTTTTGATGAAGATAATACGACAGTAAGTTTTGTTAACTAAATGTGCATCTAATTAATAAAATGTATATTGAGTATCATTTGTGAAGGTAATTTGCCATTATACAATATATATAATACGTGTGTGTGTGTGTGTGTGTGTGTGTGTAGGTGTGTTTTCAGGGAGCTGTCGGTGGCAGAAGCCGCTTTGGCTGTGGAAGCAGCAGTGCTTCAGCTCATCAGGTTTGGTTCAGCTGTATTATAACTTCACACTTAGTTCACACAGTTCACATTATGGTCAAATTACTTGTTAAAGATCCCCTC